TGACTTCTCTTAGAAAGAGCATTATCTTTTTAGCAAATCATTTTCTTAGCTTATTTTTTAGAAAGAGTTTTACTCACAGATCTTAAATTAATATCTTATGGCAAAAATCATTATTATGGGATATTCTATGTATCCTATTCTAGTCTATAAATTTAATAGACTTTGTTGACCGAATAAACTCATCTTGTATATTTTTAGTATTAATATTAAATAAAAAAAAAGAATTAAAAAATGTAACTAAAATTTATAACATTACCAATGAATTAAAAAATAATTAGTAATTATAATAATTTTTAACTAATGTAAATAAAAAATTGTTATATTTTCGACTGAGAGATTTCAGTATCTTTCGTGTAATGTATTTGCTATATCCGCTATTTGCACGACCCTCGCAGATATATTCTGCAGGGCACAAGTATTTATGGAATCATTGACTGTGTTCAGAATATTTATTTTAAAATTATTAGAAGTTTTCTGTGTTAAGAGATTGGATTATTCTTTTATATTTAAATTTAATACAATTCAATCTCTGCACAGAAAACAGTCAATAATTGTCAATAATTAAATGAATGTTTTGCTGAATGCAATTAATTTTGCAAAGTACAAGTATTTGTATGGAATCACTAATTTTGCATGATAACAAATATATATATATATGATTTTGCAGTATAATAGATTGAATATGTTACCCGAAACCATCTATTTCCTAATTATCCTAATATTTTTTAATTGATTGTTAATCTCATAAATCATTTATCTTATTGTTTCAGAGGAGATGACGATTGTAGCTTAGTGTATCGAAGATTTTAAAACCGATGGAGGATTTGTATTTACAAACAAACAGTTTTACAAGTTGCAAGGCTCTCACTTATATTTCTCACACACAAGAATGCGTTCTGAAATAACACACGAGTGTACCCAAGTATCATTCTATCCTTATTCGATGAACAACAAGCGTAAAATAATATGTAAAGTGTTTTTAAACCCAGCCCAGCTGTTGTGTATCGATTGAAAACTTGCCTTCGCCGAGTATAGGGATGCGAAATAGCGTCGCCGTCTAATTGCTCGACTTGAGCCTCGGCATATGGACGAACGATTACGTTGGGCCACCGTATCAAAGGATGTTCCTCCTCGCTGTGGTAGTCGTTCAGACTGCTCTCATAGTCGTTCCGACTGTCCTCACTTCTGCGTACGCAAATCTTGAATGATACATCTAGCATTTTCGCACACTTATAATCTAACCCCCTTATTTTTTAACTCTCCAGAAAGAGAAAAGAAGAAGAGAAAAAAAAAGAAGCTCGTCATTGCTAGTAGATTAGCGGATTAGCAAATTAGCGGATAAGCGGTTAAGCGGCATTTTCGTTTCGTGCTTTCGTGCTTTCACACATGTCTGTCGTCATCGTCGAGTCGGTGAAATGTTTAGCTCTTGATTGAAGAAAAATCAGCTTTCGTGAGAATATACATAAAATTGATCGCATCTATCAAGAGGTACTTACTGATACGCAGTTTCCTCAAAATCCGTCCTAGAATTTCCGACGCCCAGCTCCCAGTTCCTTTCGTGTCTCGAACTCTCTCCAATTGGTTCGAGGGGGGTTCTTCGGCCATGTCGCAAAGGGCCGCCAGATTGCACGGCTTGTTGTATCCCGCGACGAGCACGACGTGATATCGTGTAATTAAGAGGATCCTCTCCAGCCGCACGCAGCAAATCGGGTAAAATGCGACGCCTAGCATTTATGAACCAGTTACATACCTGCGAAATTGAATATAGATATCATTAGCGCACTGATGAGGTGAAAGATAAAATTAATTTACAAAATATTTTTTTTTTTTCGTGACATTGGAATTTCTTTTTTACATCGATATAATTAATAGGAGTTAACGCGAAAACTATTTGAAATTCACAAGATGGATGAAATATGGAGGAAATATAGGAATTTTTTGGCAATCGCGTATTTTTTTCTTTCAATGCTGTACTTGTCTTGAGATAATGCTCGATTGCATATATGTAAA